GCTTTATCCTTGTATTTTTTTGGTTGATTGACAAAAGAACGGCTAACTGACAGACTAAATAGAATAGGGGTGATGACGGGGTACAGTAAACGAAATTCTATTTAGTCCGTGAGTTAGATCTTCAAAAAATAATGGACACGTATTTTTTTTTGGGCAATCAACCAAAAAACGACAAAGACGTCATATTTAAGTGAAAATTGTACCAAAACGTGACGCCATGCGACTTTTCAAATCAATATATCCCTGCAATGTTTATATTATGTGAAAAAAGAAAAATTACGTGTCCAATACTTTTTGATAATCTACCTGATAAACGAAGTAAAAAAAATTAGTTATCATCCCTATTTCGTTGATATTACTCTGTCATCATCCCTATTTTTATCGATTAATGTATTCTTATTAAGTAATTAATGTTGCCATGGAATGGGGCAGTACTTTATAGGCGCATTGTAATACTCATTCATTCTTTCATTGCTAAGCAAGATCCGCAGTGACTGGTCATAAGATGTGAGACCAAAATTAAATTTATCTCGAGCTCTCCGGTGCTTCGGAAAATGTATAAATATACTATGTATAAATAAGAAATTGCGCGTGCTAAATGATAACGATTGAATGAATGAATGATTTATTTATTTCTTCCACAATGTTACATTACAATTATAGTAAAAGTTACCGGGAGTCGTACAAGGATGGATGCTGTCTTTTGTTTGCAGATGACCTTAAGATATTCCATGTGGTAAAGTAAGTATCAGATTGTAAGAACTTCCAAAACGATTAAAATAGAGTGTAGTGTAAAATAATTTAATATAATTTCATTTAGCTACGTTACTTTATGAATACCTTATTCGGTAAACCATTAAATCGTGTTGAGGGGGTACGGGACATAGGAGTTCGCTTCTTATCTGACTTGCATTTTCGTGAGCATATAATTAACAAATGTAAAAAAGCTTATATAAATTTAGGATAAGTACTTAAGCAATCCAAAGATTCCATAAATATTGGTTCTGTAAGGGACTTGTATGATGCCCTAGTCAGGAATCACCTAGAATTCAATGCGCCTATATGGTCACCATATGAAACGAAGAACAGTAGCATATTGGAAAAAGTGCAAAATAAATTCACAAGATATTTATGTTTTAAATTGTATGGGGTGTATTCTTTTTACCCCCTTATGTATCCAACATTGTTTGTCATATATATATATATATATACAATATGTAGGTTATCTACATGCTGGAAGTGTGAAAATAAATGACTTTACCTAGTAAAAGTTTGTTTTTTTTATTGACCAAGATTCACTAACAACCGTGCTAACAACATTTAATTTTACATTATAATTTTAAAATATGTATTAACGTCATATGCTTTTTACAGGTGAATACAGCATTCACATAAATATAAATAAAACTACAATGACAGATTAAACAAAAAAAAAATATATCCACCATCATGATATGTAGGTTTACTAAATCATAATATTATTTAGTCTGTGTTACGGTTCAATTTTAAAGTTTTGAAGGGGGGGGGGGGGGGTTCCTAAATACACCATTATTGGAAAAATTCCAGTTTTATGTCCAGGTTAATGTGGGGTTTCGTACCGAGCGTCAGCGACGCCGCGACGGAGCGTCAGATAGTATTTTTATACAAATGTCAATGTCAGCGTCGGCGTCGGTCAAAGCGGCACTGCCAATGTCATTTGCATAGAAATTCTAGCTGACGCTCTGTCGCGGCTATACTAAGGGTGCGGCCAGAGTGCACTCAGATTCAGATTCAGATTCAGATTTCGAAAACAAGCGCGAGAAATAAACAGTGTAGTCGAAGGGTACGGCCAGATTGCACTCCTGATTCAGATTCAGATTCGGACTCAGAAAACAAAGCGCGAGAAAAAGCAGGCAACCTGCTTAGACTACACTGTTTATTTCTCGCGCTTGTTTTCAGAATCTGAATCTGACTCTGAATCTGAGTGCACTCTGGCCGCACCCTAACGCTCGCTTCGAAAGCCCACTTTTAGATGCGTGTGGCGACGCCGTCGCACAGTGGTCTGAAAATCGAGCTCCTCACTCTCCTCTCAACTCATAGAAATTTAATGTCTGAAATTAATTTAAAAAAAATGGGTTGGGTTTAGTATACCTCCCTCTATTTAATATTATAGTATGAAGGGCATGAGTAGTACCACGCCTGAGATTTGTTTTTTGTATGGGAGAAAACACTTAAAGTGCATTTTTTTAAAACTGAATGGAACTGAAAGGCTGGTACTCATATGAGCTATTGCACCTTACCTTTGTTTTTCCTCCGTGCACCTTACACTGCCAACAAGATGACGTATAATATTTGTGCCTTTCGATGCCGCTTTGCGTGTAGGCAACATTCGAAATGTTGAATTTTCAGTATATGACTTTTCAAATCTTTAACGTAATTAAATTAAGTAACCGACTATATTACTGATATCGTCGTTAGTTAATGACCTATTAAACACCTTTAATAGTGATAATAACAGAAAAAGACACTAATTATTGTTTTCTTACTTTCAATTTTATTTAACGAAGTAACTCATTTGGTAATTACTCTCATTATTGTTGAGTTTCAATTAGCTAACTAATAACATAATCATTAATGGGGCAACAAGCTTACTGAGGGTAGTTATATGAGTACCAGCCTTTCAGTTCTATTCAGTTTAAAAAAAATGCGATTTCTCCCATACAAAAAAAAAACAAAACATTTTTTTTTCTCAGGCGTGGTACTACTCATATCCATCATATTATAATATTAAATAGAGGGAGGTATACTAAATACATTTTTTTTATTAATTTCAGACATTAAGTTTCTATGAGTATGGAGCTCGATTTTCAGACCACTGTGCGTCGTCCGCAATTGCTGATGTTGCCCACAGCCAGAACCAACTTACTGGCAAAAGCACACTATTTCTCGCATAATTACCCTAATAAATAGGAGTACACAAAGATATTTGATATATTATAGCGTGTAGATTGAGTGAATTCGAAGTCAAAACATTGAAATGGTTGTACTATAGAAATTGTTAAAATAAGTGTTTTCTATTAGTTGGTATGAATACAAATAATAATAATAATACAATTAATAATTAAATAAGATACATTGTCGCACTGGGCTAAAATACATATAAAGGCAATTGTAAGTAAATAAATAAATAAAAACATACAAATTTATCTCCCTCCTACAATCCGTGATCCTTTAACAGAGTTGTGAAGAAGCAATATGCAGGCCGGCAAGGTGAAAATAATTGGTGTGGCAGGTAGAACTGCTGTACCTGCTATCTTCGGATCTGGACTCCATTATCACTTAACATCAGGTGGAGTCGTTTGTCGGACATATTTTAAAAAACATACCTATACAACATACCTAACTATATATCAACAGCAAACAAAGGGTGGATTCCGGAAAACACTAGGTCCAACCATGTCAAATGTGTCAAATCATTAGTGTATGCAACTATAGAAGTAACATAGCTACTTATTTTTTAGTTAATGCTGATAGGTATATGGTTTGTATCTAAAAGTAAAATTATATACTAAGTATTTTAGTATTTTTTGTTATTAGCGGGATTCGCCATGTACCTTTTTTGCGAGTCCCCGATATTACGTTATGGTTGACGGTACGATGGTTACAAAAACCATCATCTTAAATTTGCATATCTTAATTATACCATTCGACCATGGGAAAAAACACGGCGTAATTTAAGTGCTTAATAATATTCTGAAACAAAAACGCAACGGGATTGTCTGTCGCATTCGCAAAGCAAAACATTGCGGAAATCAATAGAACCTCTTAAATTCACCTTTATATTCATAAATAATAGCTTTGGATTAAATACAACCACAAAGTCTCAAAAAACGAGCAAATGTCAACCGAAATAGAATTAAAAACAGCTTCAATGATGTTTGTCTAAAATTAGATCGATTGCAATATGCTTGGGCAGGTTGGTGTCCACTTTGAATATTAATTTTATATGCACTATACAATAATAATGCATGTTTTTATTCAAATGAAATGAGTAACTAATAAACAACTGAATGCTTAGGTACTTAAAACTCAGCAGCAATGTTTATTATTAGCCTTATAAACAAAATAAGAAAATCTAACAGTTAAATACTTAAAAAAAATAAACAAAAATAAATTAATGTTGAGGAATTAAAAGATAACCATCCTTTCCGTCTATATCGGCGGAATTAAAAAAAATATAAACCCATGGCATGGCACTACGATCGCAGCAACACAGTTTCCGGTTAGCCGGTAAGTAGGTAATACATGCGAAAAATGAAAATTATAAATGTAAAAACAAATTACTAAAATTATTAACATGTACATTAACCGCGTGAAACACATTAAATCTACTTTTTATCACCTCATTAATCGAACCACAGCAGTCATAACTAAAGTCGCGGCGCTATCGGCACCTATTGGCATTAAACTGACGACAAATGATATACTTTTGTTTCTCTATTAAATACTTACTTATCATTCCATTGAATGATAAGTACCACAAATCTCATTCTTTAATGAGATTTGTGGTTTTCATAAGTATAAATATTTATTTCAATTTGCGCAAGTCTACGGCTGTATGGACCTGAGCTGGTAAAAGCAATCTAGACCTAATTCCTTTACAAGTCCTAATAACGAATAACATTTCAAAATACACAAAAAGTTCAACCTTACCACTTTAGTCTTAAAGATTGTGTTGTGTGGGTGTTAATTGAACAGTCTCTTGCCTGCAATAGCTCTCAAGCAGATGCAATAGCACTCAAACATAATACGCATTTGCATCTTGCATATAATTAGTATGTATGTATGTATACGCCGGCAACATAACCGAGGAACGAAGAAAGTAACAAACTACTTTTACTTTCATTCGAGTTCACAGACGCGAAAAGGTAATAAATACTATTTGATTAGTTTCAAATACAGTGACATATTTAACTATCAACGTATGCATAAAGGATTTAATACGAGATGTATGTACTTACCAAGGCGAGCCAAACTAATGAGATCTGTTTCCAACACATGGTTTATGCACTAGAACACTTCAACATGCCACTAACCACAACCGGAGTGCGGTTAACCAATTGTATTTACATGTCGATTTTCCTTTTTATTTGCATTTCGCTATGACGTAGGGTTGCGCGCCGAAATATCGATACTCGATTCACTCACACTTCCATCTAGGGCCGCGGTGTGATGACAACTGACGTCCGGCACTCGAGTAGCGAACTCCGTCACAACAACAAATTATCGAAGACCCCTACTTTTGCTTATAGTTTCCGCTTAATCGTCTCTTTTCGCTCACATGAAACGGGGAGCAGCGATCCCTGCACAATGGTCACGCTAAAGGACAGCTGTTCGGTTTAAGAATGAACCCATTCACTTTCAAGTTCATAATTCACAGTTTCGCATTAATAAATGCGTGCTCTTTATCGATAATTATATACAAGTTATATAGTGACAAACCTAAATATTTGATTAGAATAATCGGTTAAGTACTACGATTCTACATACATTTCATACAATTAGTGTTATCGTGTTAATTTAACCATGAGAAAAACGACGATTATTATAATAACCAAACGCTAATTAAGTATAGAAAAATGGCAAACTTATTTTTATTTCAAATGTCTAGTTTATTTCGGTTCACTAGCTAATGCTTGATACTTACTTATTATAAATAAATGTCAATTATTGTTTTTTTTTACCCGTGTTACATAAGTACATAGATCGTACTCACGTTCAAATGCTTTAAGACAGGGTAAATAATGCCACAGATCTATAAATGAATAATATAAATCTCAAACAAGTATGTATTAATTTCTACTAAGGAGTTGCGATCCAAAAAATACTCTAACAATTTCAAGCGAGACTGGAGTAGATTCTGGCGTGATTCTCTAAACTTAAAATTAAATTTGACTACATTGTATCCTTGTCATTCTCTACAGAGAATGAGAATGAGAGACTGATATTAAATTCAGTTTTAAGTTTAAAGAATCATGCCATAATCGACACCAATGATATGATAAGAAGCCTAAGATTTCACTGGGTCACAAGGTACTACATGAGAAGACTTATTCGTTGTAGTTCCTGTTCAGGTCCGAACCTGGTAGAAATTTACCATAACAATATTCCATGCAATATTATAAATGCTGTAATGTTCATGTCCGTCTGTTACTTCTACATGCTTACCACTCTTTTTACCTCTTCTTAAACCACTGAACCTGAATATGAAATGGTACAGAAGTAGAGTACCGAGGTAAAGGATATCAGACAGTTTATATCCCAAAAATCATTATTTAAGGGGGGAAGGAGTTTGTATGGGAAACTATTTTTCCCCACAGATGAAGTCGTGGACATATGCTAGTAAAGAAATATTCCTAACACTCACACCAAATCCTAACTCCAAAATAATCACAATACCCCTTATTGATAAACGGGGAATCAGCTTAGACTAATTACGCCGTCTTTTGTTCATACCACTAAAATGCTATTTGTCATTCAATGAGCAGAAACAAAACATGGGGTAACTTATCAAAGCTTATTCTTCGTTTGTTAATAAGGCAGTGTAAGTCTTATTATTATGGGATAGTATCCCATAATACACGCACACGCACACATGTTACACTCATTCAAAGTGTCTATCAAAAATCTCGAATGAATTCACTAGGTAATTCCAATCCCAACTAATATATTATCATATAGGCCGGCCGCCCTTGGGTGCATATTTAAATTATCATCATATCATAAAATAAATAAAAAAAAAGTAATTGATCCTGAAAGAATACAATTGGTAACTTATCCTAACCTTTAAGTTACTAATTGTATTTTTAGGTGCTCATTTATTATTTTTTTGAGGATCATTTAAATACAGTGTAAACTCTATATAACGATACTAAAGGGACTGTACATTTTATGGCGTTATAGAGAGTTGTCGATAAATGGAAAAATTACGAAAAGAAAAAGTTAATTTCAAGCTAGTAGTTATGTAAATAAAACTTATTCCTACGCTGTTGCGTATATTCTGTTATTTTTGTCTGATGTTTTTTGCTGCACTAGTAATTTTGTTGTATTATATTTTTTTTCGTCATGCTCATGGTCAACAATAGTCTACACGTGAAATCCCAATATGTAAACAAAAGAAAGAATTTCACCGTCAGAAACACAACACCACCAAAAGGTAGTGTTTTATTTTGCTATGATCTTCTGTACGATGAAGGGTACTTCCACAGACGGGCGTTCCAGTTGGAGCGGTAAAATCCGCTATGCTCTACCTCTCTTGATATTCGCTATCTTACGTAAAAACTCATAATATTGTTTTCTTACATATTATTGGAAAGGCCTACTGCCAGTCTCTGTACACGTGCGCCCTGTGGGTCAGATATACGCAGCGGGCATACAACGCTATCCGTGTCCAATATAATAATGGATTGAGGATGTTGTTGGGGCTCCCACGCTACTGCAGGGCATCGGGTATGTTCGCAGATGCCCACTTAGACGACTTCCCTTCAGTGATGCGCAAGAGAATTGCATCGTTGATGCACAGGGTTCGTGGGAGCGCCAACAGTATTCTCGACGTTATCGGGAAAAAACCGGAGTGTGCCATTCTGAGGCACTGGGCACATATACACGTTCATGTGACCCTTGCCTCAGATGGTATATATATGAAATAACTTTGTTTTAAAATGTACCTACTAACATAGTTTGTTAATTACATTTCTATGGGTCTAGTATCTGAAATAAAACATTATTATTATTAAAGGCAAACAAGTAAACGTTCCATCTGCTTGTAAGCGGTCACTTGGTTTGTGGAAGCCTGCCACACCTTCCCCGTAGCAGGAGCACCACAATTTACATTATATCACGTTTTTTAAGGCGCGTAACTGTCAAACTGCTTAGTTACATATTACATACACCAGGATATACATATTTTTTTTTAACGCACCAATTAGCCTATCCCCAAAGTAAGCACTGTAAGGCTTGTGTTATGGGATACTAGGATAACGAATAGAATACATATAAAGTACATATATAAGTATATTTATATAGAAATATATTTATATAATATAACATCCATGACTGAAGTACAAATGGTCGTATTCATCACACAAACATCTGCCCCCACCGGGATTCGAACCCGGGACCTCACGAGTCGGCGACACCATGAAACCCGGCGTACAAACCACTCGGCCACGGAGGTCGTCAAAACATATTGTGGTGTTAATGCTAGGGGGGCTGGAGTATCAGACGCGGTGATATCCCTCAATGAGGATCTCGCGGTTCCGCGCGGTTCTACAGTGTTCTACAGCGTAGAATGCATATGGTATTCGGATAGCATGCCGTAAGCGCTCGTAAGCCGCGCGGAATGCTTAATGGCTTCTTCGTTTCGCATCCGCGAGACTTGCGAGAGGCTAGGTGTGAGATCCTTTCCATTAGTGTGCCCCTAAATGGCGCCAACGGCAACGTCTGTAAATAAAAGTGTTTGCCTGTAGTATATATCACTAAGTAAGATTAAGTATAACACTGATAAGGCACATTAGGCCTTCCCCGTGGATTGAAAAGGGAAAGTCATACCTCAATACAAAGTCCTAGCTAAGCACCGCGATATGATATATAGCTCATTTTTGTCACGCTCAATTATCAAATTACTGTGGAATTTAACAGTAATACGTGATAAAAACGTGATATAATGTAAATTGTGGTGCTCATGCTGCGCGGACTGGTGCCGCTTGATTGGACATTAACAACTACAGATGCAGCAGGGACCAACGGCCTATACCACTTTCGAAGCACAACAGATAATTTTTGGTCACCCATCCAATGATTCTACATCGAGAAAGTTTGCTTGACTTTCATAATCACAAACTGAACGCACTTGCCATTGAGCAGGCAATGGAACTTCTTATTTTAAAAATACTTTAGGTATGTGTCATTTACTTCCATCATCTTATCATAATTTGTACGCAAACAAATTAAGATTTCGTTGATGTCTTTTGAAGCGACCATCTTTTTTTTTTGAAATTTTGTCAAAATTATTGCGGAATACTTCTCATTTATAAATGGCACTACATGAGAAAAAGAAAAAGAAACGAACGATGTAGTCCTAATTTTCACCACCCGCACGGAGCGCCATTTGGCAAGGCGCGCCATTACATTAATAGAAAAGTTTGCTTTATTAATTGAATTAGGTATAACTGTTTTCTCGCAAATAATGTGACGCCATAGCTGTCAATTCAAAAACCAAACAGGTAAAGTGAGCAAATAAAGTTTTATTTAATAAAACTTATTTGCTACGATTAAGTGAGAAAAAACATCAGATTTTTTAATAGAATTTATTTACTAAGATTAAGGAAAATAAACAACCGATTTTTAATAATATTATTAAAATATATTTATTAAGACTGTGTGAGAAAAGCCATTAATCAGAATCTAGCTTTTCAATTCCGCTCATCTCTGCATTACCGCGGAGTAGTTATGAATAATCATGCACTATTACTAGGTTACATACGAACATGTATCTTTTATGTAAACGAAAGTTTTAAATCGAATTTATGAAAGCAATTTAAAGTGACATTTGGTTCACGATTTAGGTTATCAACCAGTCATAGCCAAAACTCAATAAATGAAAAAAAATCAAAGAATATTAATTATCAATATTTGTTATTGTTTGTTTACAAATGTTTGCTTTTTATTCTAGAATTAGCTGAGTGCAAAAGGGTTCCAAGATTTTTTGCAAACCGTACTTTTGAAGCGACATTTGACAGATAGATTTTAGACAAGTAATAAAATGGGATTTTTTGAAATTCAGCCTCGTGAAATTTGTAAAAAACGTTTGTTCGTAAAATCTTATCCCTTGGATTTATTGACTGCAAATTTTGCATAAATATTATTTAATAGATGTACGCATCGGGTCAAACTACTTTTCTCTCGCTTTCCTGCAATTTGTAGGACTGATTTCGTGAAATGGGACGGAAGTGTGAAACAGGAAGTCGCGAAAGCGCGCGCTATTTGATTTGATTTTAGAACATAATGTTCAAATGGCCTATTCCTTTTGTCGTAGGTTTTATTTCTTTTTTCATTAATATAAGGTGAGGTTTCAAATGTTACACATCATATGCGACTACTGCAAAGCTTGGTTTTTTTTACAGTCCGGAGGTTTTGGGCCCGTTGAATTTAAATCTCAAATAATTTTCAATCAAACCCAACTAAAACAGTGTTAAAATTACTCAATTTATAAATTAAAAACCATGCCAAAACCTCACTCTAGGTATGTCATTCAGTGTTATACAGCTCCTGTAAAATTTAATTTTATGTAATTATACCGTTTTCTTTGCTAGCTCCTCATTTAGTTAAGGTTTGGCTGGCTTGACAGCTTTGAAACTTGACTTAGATAAACTAAACTGAAACTATAAAAAAACGTATTTCATATTTTATTTTAAACGTATATTTATATATATATATAAATATTTGCCTATATTTTGATACTTCTTAATAATATTCCTGCCAAATTTGAAATAAATCCATGCAGTACTTTTTGAGTTTATCCCGGACATACATACAGACAAAAATCCTAAAAACTATATTTTTGGCTTCGTATCGATCGTCCAATGTACCTTTTGGACAGGTCTCGGGCATGATTTTATTCGTTCTGGTGTTTCTAGGGTATTTAATATCGTTGATACTGAATGACAACTGGGCATAATGTTACAGCAGTCTTTAGTTTACCGAATATATATCTATGTCCTCTATATCTATTCTATACAACTTAATGGCAGAACTCCACCTACCTATGGCAAAAAAAAATGGGTGCGTGTACTTATGTAGGCGCATGAGAAGTTATCCTTCTTTGGCATCGTTTAAAATTAGTTTTTAATTGCATGCAAATAATTAATAACAATAAATTAATAAAAAGTCTGGAAAAGGACACAGTCAATAAAGTTCAGTTTTAATTTGAAAAAATAAATAAATAATCAAAATATTCAATTAAAATCGCTACTGAATATAATTTATTAGAACATATGTGATTTGCACTTGTATGAAACTCAAACACGTATTCCGAATATACAAACTAGAAACATGTGGATAAATATTATAAATATGAATACCTATAACTGTTACTTTATTACAAAAAATAAAGATGTGGTTTTTGGTTCTACTACACCAATGGTCAAGAGATGGCGCTGTAGTCTCCTGAATCGCGCTTTGGTTCTGTTGTTCCAGATTAATAAATACTTTTGATATTACAAATATGAATACCTATGACTGTTACTTTATTACAAAAAATAAAGATGTGGTTTTCGGTTCTACTACACCAATGGTCAAGAGATGGCGCTGTAGTCTCCTGAATCGCGCTTTGGTTCCGTTGTTCCAGATTAATAAATACTTTTGATGGGCCTTCACAATGCAGTCGTTAGCACCCACTAAATAGAGATTCTATTTCTATTTTGTTGGTAGATTTTCTTAATGTGCGGTAAACACAAAAGTAACAGCATGAAATTTTATGTTACAGTGGTGCGCGCGCATCTTAAAATTTCACTCTCATCATTTTTTCATAACGCGCCTAAAGAAGTATAACTTCAAAAATTACTTTATTAGTGTTGAGTTGTGACTTTGTGACTCGTCAGAGAGTTACCTGTTTCATACATTTAGGATGATTATAGAGTGAGAACGGTGTTGCACATCGTGACACACAAGTATAATTTCAACCGTACTAAATGCATGAAATCGATCTCGTCATAACACAACCCATCAGATACTTAATTATATTTTTGCCTTAAAACGATCAGGATCGCGTTCCATACCTTTCGGTGAAGAGGGAGCACTCAAAGTTTATTAAGGTAGGTAGGGAATAACGGAACGTAGCTCAGTTTAAAATGTCATTTTCATGTCAATGTCAAATTTATAAAAAAAACAAAGTTGCAGGTTGCAGGCAGACAGATCCAAAAACAATTCTATATTTTTATGATTTTTCCTTTTATTTTGTCGTAACTCTAATGCATTAACAATTTTATGAATTTCTACAGCTAAGTAATTCTACTTTTCCCCAGTTTCAAATGGGAAGTGTAATATATTAAAAGGTTATTTATTTATTGAAACATCAGTGAAATAACACTACATTTAAATTAAGTGTTATTTTAACTGATATTAATTCAAATAACACAAAGTAATAAAGCATTATGCGGACTTACATACGCAAGAAAACCGAGTGTCAGTTAATAGAAGGAGGAGTCGAAGACTTGTGCAGACTGTGCTTAGGAAAATCCACTTCATCTGTTCAAATTTTTACGGATGACTGTGAAAATGACATCTGCGGCCCGCTACGTTTGAGGATCATGATCTGCGTAGGCTTGGAGGTAAATATTTTAGCAATGCTCAACATTCACAAATGTGTTAACTCAGTAATGGTGTTTGTTTGTATTGCAAAACTGTTAAGTTTAATGTGTTTCTTTTATTACATCAATGTAAATAAATTTTAGACACTAGTACCAAGTGAACACAATTACTTATCATTTAAATAGTTTTTTGCTAAGGGAATTCTAACCTTACAAACTGATACTTACTGTACCAATTCTCATTGAATCATTGTAAGGACTCATACCTAAAGCAATCTTCTTTACTCATAGATGACCCGAGAAGACTGTCTTCCAAATAATATCTGTGTAGAGTGTTATAAAGAATTGGAGAAATACTATACATTCCGCAAAAAATGTGAAATTACCTATCAGAAGTTAAAGTCTCATGTAATGGCAGTAAAAGAAATTGAGCGTCGGAAAAATTTAGGGATCATGCAGAAAATGAAAATAGAGACTGATGATAAGTTTATTACTCAAGAAGAAACAATCCAACATATGGTCTTATCACTGAATGGAGAGCATTCAGCAGAGCCAGTGAATGTTTTTAACAGTATACAGTTAAATAATTTACAGGTAAAAAATTGTGTATTATGTACTTCCAATCAATGAAATATAGCAATTATTCTATATATACTTATATTATTCAGGAATCCAATAGTTGTACAAATGATACAATGAAATATGTTAATTTAGAAAGTCATCAAAATGATGATATACAGGTGAGTAGTAAGTTTTGAACTCATTTTAACAGAATCATTTTATTTTTATTACCATTATTCAATTGTCTATATTGTAAGCCTGAGTTTGCCAAACCTTATTATTTTTAACAATGTTATTAAAATAATCCTCAGAACAATAAGTAATTCAAACTAAATAAGTCAATTACCAAACTTACCTTAATATTGGTTGTTGTACTATTTTTGCTGTTAATTTTTTTAAGATTATTCAAAATTTAAAAATATTATAACCTAACCTAAACTGTATTACTCGTACACTCTTTTTTTATAAAAGATTTGAGTGAGTTTGACCGCAATCGCATCTGAGATTAAGCAACAATGTGGTCTAAGCTGGAGAGTGCAGACTCAAATAATGACTATTTACCCTTGCCATGACAATCCCCATGTTATATGTATCAGGGAATAATAAAACAGGAAGGGAATTCCACTTTCTAGTGGTTTTAATGATGAAGGAAGATGTGTTCCTTTGATTGATAGGTTTCTTATTTTGCTTATAGTAAATAAAAAATTACAGATGCAAAATGTATCAGTCACAAATCTTCCTACATTCGGAACAGAGGAATCACAATCACCTATGCCAATGATTTTATCCTCAATCTTATTGGAACTTGGAGTGCTACAACAGCAGCCAGATGGCACACTATTAATGGTTGATCCAGACCTTAAGATTGTGGAGTTAGAGGGAGAAAACAATGCTAAAGTCACATTAGAACTTGTTGAAGAAGACACAATATTGGTATGGTAATTCATATAACAGAAAGTTATATTAAATAAAACAAGTTTCAACAGTATATATGCACTGATTTATTTATTTATTAAATCATAATTCCGACGAAGCACCTGAAAAGGATACGAAACATCAATAAATAAATAAATCAGTGCATCTATACCGTTGAAACTTGTTTAATTTAAAGATTGGAGTGCCTGAAAACCTTAGAAACAAATTAGAAAATATTATAATGTTGTTATATTTTTTTAAGTCTATTTAACTGTCACATGTTTAAATGTAAAGAAATTTTTGATATAACTATAATTAGCAATTTTCTTCTTTCAAATGGTAAAATGAATTTGATGTTGTGGGTTACCTACAATGCGAAGATAGAATGCCTTGCAGTCTAAGAAATGCTAGAGAAAATTGGACACGGACAATTAAGGCCGCGATAGCTTAATGGTCAGTTCATCCGCTCGGATAGCAGAGGGTGCGGGTTCGAGTCCCGTCTGCTGCCTGGTCCGCGTAGATATTTTTCTAACAAAATTTTCTTTAGAGAAATTAATTTTGTCTATATTTTTTTTATTACCAATAGCACCTGTTTGTCATGTTACAGGACGGAACTGAATCAAATAATACTCAAGAACAAATATTTGCTAAAGTAACAGCTGTAACAGCTAACTATAGTCAAAATTCATCAGAAACAAATGTTGTTCAAGACCATTTGAATAAATTAAAATCAAAAAATAGTAGTGACAAAGAAAAGGAGTAAGTATCAAATAACTTATATTTAGCACTTAACTCACTTTTAAATTCTGTTTATGTAAATTATGAAATCTTTCGTAAACCGGTTAGATGGTATCCAATCCTCTGAATCTTAATTAGACCTGTAGCATCTGTGTTTTAGCTCAAAAAGTTACCAATACCTAAATGTTTTTATAAATATAATAAATATTTCCAACACTCACACCAATGACCCTAGCCCCAAAGTAAGCACTGTTGGCTTGTGTTATGGGATTCTAGGGTAACGGCACGGTAATATTATCTATACAGTCAGTGGCGGCGCTAGGCGTCGGCGACATCGGCCACCGCCGACGGCCTCGCGCCTGAGGGGGCCTCGCAAAAATTTTTTACAAGTTACCTATTTATTTTCGTTTCTCCTGGCCTGGCTTAGGTAGCCGACCCCGAACAATGGGGGAAAAAAGCTAAGCAGATGATAATGACTTTTATTATTTTCGAACACGTGTGTGATGGAAGCGAGTAGTACTTTACAGGTATTCAGAATCGTCTGTCTGGCAACATGGGCGTACCCAGGTACGGGCAGGGGGGGGCAGTTGCCCCCCCCTAGATCGAGGAGCTTCAGAACCAAAAATTAAATAATAAATAATCCAAAAACTAAATATAAATTTTAAAAAAATATATAGAATCGCACATCACTCTCATTAGTCTCGTTACTAAAGCTTTAATTTCGATAGGACTACTCGTAAACAGTGAAGTGATTTCGTACGTACCTACGTTAAGTATTTCTTGGACGTAAAATAAGGATTATTAAATTAACTATACAGCCATTTTTGGTTAGATCATTGGTAAGATCGTAATATTTATTTCATTTTATTGTGAGGTATTTTGGAATGTTAGTACGATACAGTAAGCTCTATTAGTACTTTACTTATGTGTGATGTGCCTAAAAAAGGGGAATACGTCCGGCCTGGATGACGAAACACCAACATCATCTGGTACATTGTAGTGATTTTCATACATATCTTTTAAAATAGTCTAGTCAGGTTCAGTATCGAGGATTGAAAAAGGCTTGCTTTTCGAGTTAACAGTTGAGCCTTCCTTTATAAAGTTAATTTGTTTTTTATTTGTGGTTAATCATTTTTGGTCAAAAAAGCATTGTATTTTCTTTGTGCAAGTTACAAAATAAACTTTGCGGTTAATGACTTTAATAATGTTCCAGAAATAAGAGACACGATTAGCACAATAAAAGATGTCATCAACTTTTTCGTGAATCTTCTCTATGGAGAAATTACGTGCCAAATATTCCAGCTCTTTGTGAGACACGCTGGTCACAAAAAAACAAAAGTATTGCTATTTTTAACGATCATTTTGAGGGCATTCTCAATGGGCTTTTGGCAATTTCTAGAGAAGGTAATGCTGCAGCGAGAAAAAACGCTTACCACTTATATTGTGCTGCTACCAAGTAAGAATTTATTATATCTGCTGGTTTGATAGGAAAATACTCAGGAATATTGGAACCTGTTGCCAATACCCTATATTCAAAGACAATAGACATGTATATATGAAAGAAGCATCTCAGTAACGCGGACCAGGAATTCCAATATGTCTTCGACACTTCTACGGAAACTGCAACTGTCATTGGAACCGATTTACATATCCCGCGCATTGCATTTCGTCAACGACATCAATCTAATCATCCTGCTGAGACTCCATGCGATTTTTGGAAGCGATCGATCTTCATTCCGTATTTGGATTCCCTTATATCCGCACTGGAACATCGTTTCTTTGATTAACATATGTTTATCAAAGAAACGATGTTCCAGTAGGCATATGCCTGCCTTCGGATTGATGATGCTCCATCCTGATGCGACGTTACAAATTTCATTGGCTGAATTCAAACAGAAAACACAAAGTTTCAGCAGATACTATGGGTTAGAATCCTTTGATAATAAAGCTGAACTGTGATATAAACGATGGAAAGATGAGGTATGCCAAGAGAACACCTTAGAGAGCTGAACTTTGCAGAGTTGTTAGAGAAGGCGGAAACATTCTTTCCTCCAACCAGAAAACCTATACTAATTTACTTTGGCACTGTCTTGCACCACGAGCAATGTAGAGAAGTACTTCTCTACACTGCGGTGAAGTCAAAACGTGGTTCAGGTCGACGATGCTTGATCTTGATCTCTTAACATACATAGGACACATAAATGGCCTGTGTATGTTAATTGTCCAGCGAAAGATGGTACAAGAAAATTTACATGCAATTTCAGGTGAAGTCTTGAAACGGTTCTGCGAAGAACCGAGAAAATTGCTCTTGTTTATTGTATAAAATTTAATTTTTGCGAACATAATAATTTCGCTTGCCTGCCCCCCCCTAAACTAAATCCTGGCTACGCCCTTGTCTGGCAACACTATTTTTGTAATTAAATTTCTATGTTTGTAATTATTTTTTGTCATCATTTGATTATCAACAATAAAACTCGTTTACTCATACGTTATTTTATAATTTGGCTCACTTAATTTAACGGTTATTTACTGTGAAGTAAAATAGGCCTCACGAACTTGATGTCGCCGACGTCCACATGTGGTCTAGCGCCGCCACTGTATACAGTATTTTATCTTCATACAAACGGTCGGAAAGCGCTCGAGTTCGCGCCGGCACCCGGTGGTCATCCAGTCGCGAATGCGCAGCGACGACCGAATGGTATGAATTGTTTTTAAGCAGTTAGCCATGCTTAAACGTTTGTATTGTGAATATTTGATTGAATTAAGTAGATACCTACATAATTTAATATGGCAAAGAGCAATAGTCGATATTCTTCTGGTTTTGGTTATGTTTTTATTTATTTTTAAGCATTTAACTGCTAGATGTTTAAATCTAAAGAAAAGTTTACTAGAAAAAAATCCACGCGGACCAGGCAACGGACGGGACTGGTTTTGGTTGCTTGAACTCTTCAATAATTAAACTTTTTATACGAATGCGTATTTATTATATTATTAAATTTAATAATAAAGCTTTCCGTACGTCTCAGTCGAGGCGTAAATATTTTTCTGTCTCATCTTTATTTTTTTTATTGAAATATTACACTTAAAATAACATGTATTTTATGTAACACTTCCTAATTCATTCACAACATTTTTTTTTTTACATATGAAATGAAATATTTACAATCACAAAACTAGAAAGAAACTTAACGTAGATGAAATTAAAATACTGTAGGTGGGCAGCCCTACCGCGTGGATACGTCCCGGCCGTAGGCAGTTATTTCAAAGACAGGGCCGAGTCACAATACTGTATAGATAATATTACCGTGGTAACGTATAGAATACATATACTTCATATATATAAGTATCTTTATATATATAATTCTTCTGTGAGTGTGTATGTCACTGAACTTCTCTTAAACGACTGGACCGATTTTGATGAATTTTTTGTGTGTGTTCAAGGGGATCTGAGAATGGTTTAGATTCACAATTTTGTCCGCTGGACAACCCCTATTTTTTTAGGGCGGTACGAAGTTCGCTGGGTCAGCTAGTATTTATATAGAAATACATATTAAACATCCATGACTGCAGTACAAATGCTCGTAGCCATCACACAAACATCTGCTCCCACTGGGATTCGAACCCGCGACCTCTCGAGTCGGCGACACCATGAAACCCGGCGTACAAACCACTCGGCCACTGAGGTCGTCAATAATAAAATATACCTAATGTTGTGTTGACTCCAGCGATCGTTGGTGTTCGACGTGCGGCAAGCGATTCGCATCGCCCAACGCATTAACGCGCCACCAACGCGTGCACTCCGGGGAGAAGCCGTACTCGTGTCGCGTGTGCGGACGGAAATTCGGACAGAGGGAGGTCATGACCCGCCACGAGCTGGTGCACAGAAGTAAATCTATATACATATAAATAAAATTGGAGTGTCTGTTTGTAATATTGAAATAACCGCTTTTTACTACATGCATGCATGAATATACAATATACGGTACATACACCAAAATAACATTTTTTACAATTTTTGTCTGTCTATCTGTTGTTGTTTTTGTTCCGCCTAATCACTGAAATGGCTGGACCGATTAAGACGGGACTTTTATTGGCAGGTAGCTGATGTAATAATGAGTATCTAAGGATTCACAATTTTTTTTTTAAACCGCGAAGTGAAATATTAAAAAAAAACACGACGTATTTCATGGTAACCATCGATATCATAAGGATTATTTTGTCCTAAATAACATAGCATTTTAAATTAAAACTTTAAATCTCATGATTCCTTTGACGGTTGTCATAGAATATATAATGCGATTCAACTAAGAATAGGACCGACTGGGCGCCATATTTTGACGTCATTGCTGTCATTTCAAACCAAATAAGTAAAGTGAGCAAAAGAAGTTTCTGTTTAATAAAACTTATTTACTAAGATTAAGTGAGAAAAAACACCAGATTTTTTAATCAAATTAATTTACTAAGATTGAGAAAAAAAAACAACCGATTTTTAATAATATTTCTTTATTAAGACTGTGTGAGAAAAAACATTAATCAGAATCTAGGTCTTTAATTCCGCTTATCTCTGCATTACCGCCGGAGTAGTTATGAATAATCATGCAGGTCACATACGAACATGCATCCTTTATGTAAACGAAAGTTTTAAATCGAGTTTCTGAACTGAATAAAGTGACATTTGGTTGACGATTTAGGTTATCAACCATCCATAGCCAAAGTTCAATAAATGAAAAAAAAAATATCAACCAATATTAATTATCAATATTTGTTATTGTTTGTTTAAAAATGTTTGGTTTTTAATCTAGAATTCGCTGAGTGCTAAAAAAGTGTTACGAGATTTTTTGCAAACCGTACTTTTCATGCAACATTTGACAGATGGAGGTCATTGACTTTCCTATTCTTATTTGAATCGCATTATATGTAGATTACCTTCTGTTCTGCCTATTTTGTGATTTAACGACAACTCTTCACCCGTTTTTCTCCACAGCTTAAAAATATCTATAGCAGGCTGTAGGAAAAAAAATTTGGACGAATCAAAAGATTTGATTAAATCAATTTTGATTTTGTCAACTGCAGCATGTTGTTTTTTCTCATAAACTTTTCTTTAGATTTAGACATGCATTAGCATGAGCGTCGCGATATGATATATAACGCGTTTTTATCACGTTCAATTTGTTCAATTACTATAGAGTTTGACAGTTAGACGTGATAAAAAACTAAAATAAAGGCCGCTGCATACGTGACGAGTAAATACAGACGAGACGTGACGAGAATGAGCAGAACAGAGCGACTATGCTATGCATACGTAGCGAAACCACGAGCGGGACGGGGACGTGCTAAACATCGTCCGCGACGATATTTTTCCCGTCCACGTTCCCGCCCCGTCCATGTACCCGTGACATATGCGTTTTTGGATACATTGTGTATGAAACGATGTTTCCAAAACTTCCCGTCCCGTCCTGTCCGGATAAAAACTCGTCACGTATGCAGCGGCCTTAAATTGTAGTGCTCATGCTACAGGGACTGGCAGGTAAATGTTTAAAATAAAAATATAAAAAAACTATAATTCTCCCATCCACCAATAGCAAAGCGTCCGTTCGCGTGCTCGCGTTGCCCCAAGAGCTTCACTCAGCGCGGTGCGCTCGCGCAGCACGCCCGCCAGCACGCGCGCACCCTCGCACTGCACCGCTGCGGGTTCTGCTCTAAAGTCTTCCTCTACGCCTCCGGTAAGTTAATCTGTAATGTGTTGACATTCATCCATGACATGAGCTTCAATCACGTAGCACCTGCAGCGGTGTAAGGCGAAAGTGCGCGCGTTCTGTACCCTTGGCACAAACCAATATCGAATTCGAATATATAGATAGATAGATGTACACATACAAAATTGAAGACAAATTTTACAATTATATAAATCCTTTAAAACATGGAACAAATTATATTATACAACTATACTATGATATTTTCGTGTGCAGCAGCGATGCAAATGGGCGAAAACTCAGCGTAACATTTACTCAGAGAGTAAATCGCTGATTTTCAGTTCTGACCCATAAAGACGAGGTCGCGCAATTAAATGTCAGATTAAAATTCACAATACAATAAACGAAATTAAATATAAAAAATAATTAAACATTCATTTTAATTGTTATGGTACATTTACATAAACATATAAACAAAGAAAAAAAAATATATTGATCAGTGAGAAAATATTTATAATTTTTATATTTTAAGCATGTAACTGCTTGATGTTCAAATCTAAAGAAAATAGTTTCGGTGAAAATAAAATTAAAGCGCACAACACCAACGCCGACAACTCTGCACTATAACGAATAGTTAGCGAGTTCGGAATGTCATTGTCAAATTTTATATGGAAACTTGAACAGCAGCGCCATAACGGCATAAGTACAACTTGAAATCAGTACACATTTGGCAATCTCAAACTATTCCTTACATAAAGGTTGTATAACTGGTCCGTATGACTTCGCTCTTAGATGAGCGCTGTGTCTGTGATACAGGTATTTTTTTAACCTAGTACAGGCACAGAGGATACTATAGAATGTTTATTCTAAGCTTTACTGTATATTGTGTTGTACGTTTCTTGTAAAACGGGCTTATGAAATAAATAAATATATTACATATTCGAATCCGATATTGGTTCGGGCTAAGGGTACAGAACACGCGCACTCTCGCCTTACACCGCTGCGGGTGCTTCACCAAGGTGTTCTTCTACGCCTCTGGTAATTTTATCTATGCTTTGTGTAATGTGTTCACATTCATTCATGACATGAGCTTCACTCGGTACACGCTCATCAGAACGCGCGCACGCTAGCCTTAAATCGGTGCTGGTAACTACTGCGACAAGGTATTCCTCCATGCCTCCGATATCAATAATGTTATCAGAGGCATTAATATATCGGATGCATTAATGTAACAAACTTACACTCGCATTAGTGGTCCTCGATGACGCAGCTGGTTAGCGCGTGCGGTCTGCGATCGTGGAATTTAGCAACATTCACAGTAGTCGGCCATTGGATGGGTGACCAAAACCTTATTATCTCGAACTCGGGTACTTTAAGCCGGTAGTCCAGGCTGCGTTTAGCAACATTCACAGTGGTCGACTATTGGATGGGTGACCAAAACCTTATTATCTCGAGCTCAGGCACTTTAAGCCGTTAGTCCCGGCTGCGTTTAACAACATTCACATTGGTCGACTATTGGATGGGTGACCAAACCCATAGTATCTCAAACTTATACAATTTAAGTCGTTACTCCCGGCTGCGTTTAGCAACATTCACAGTGATCGACTATTGGATGGGTGCCCAAAACCTTAGTATCTCAAACTCAGACACTTTAAGCCGTTAATCCCGGCTGCGCTTAGCAACATTCACAGTGGTCGGCTATTGGATGGGTGACCAAAGCTTTATTATCTCAAACTCAGACACTTTAAGCCGTTAGTCCCGGCTGCGTTTAGCAACATTCACAGTGGTCGACTATTGGATGGGTGACCAAAACCTTATTATCTCGAACTCAGGCCACTTTAAGCCGTTAGTCGTTTTCATCTACCAATCCGGCGTTTGTCCCGCGTAGTGGGTCATGGCCCACACAAAAGCAGCGCCAAAATTTGTTCCTTTATTTTGTTTGTGGTCGGCACCCACAGGTCTGAGCCGTCACATGACAGTGCACACTGGTAAAGTGTTCGTGTGCAACGCGTGCGGCCGACACTTCCGAGACAAGAGCTCTCTGCTCCGACACTTACGCAATTCGCACCCCGACACGGAATCCACGCCCTCTGCCCTGCCTACTAAGAAAAACCCGCAGATTATTGCGCCACAGACGATAGAAATGAACCCATAGGCCTTCATAGACGCTCATGCAGCCCTCAATCAATAAAAGGATGGATACTGAAAAGTCATCAGTCACTACATTAGACAACAGATTTATCTATCAGTACATCACCTTGATTACCAGCAAACTGACAGCAAAACCGACAGATCAGAAGAGGATCGCTAATTCGCTGCTAACGTGCGTATATTGTTATAGGCGTCAATAGGCTGAAATGTAGTTACTCATTAAGGCCGACCGCAATTTATTTATTTGTCACATTTTTTGTAAAAAAAGAGGTTTAGTAGTGTCGCCGACCAGACCACTACCAAGGGGACCACTACCACTACCAGTCCTTCGAGCCGGATCAATGAGAAGGGTCCTATTTGTCTTTCAATGACGTGGACTGTAATTATAGTGTGAAGAATTGTTCGCTCCTTCCAGGTTCTTTTGGATGATTACCTGGCTTACGCCTTGCCCAAGACAAATAAAATAGTCCCTTGGGATAAAATAAGTATATTAAAGATCACAAAAACCAAATTAAATTCAATGGGAAACAAAAAACATTCTTTTTCTTCTTGATAGCTATCAAAAAAAATATATAAAAACCGAATCACTAAAAAGACCATATACTTATCAAAAAGTTTTATCATGCTTTACGAGGTAAACTGGTATATTTATACAAAACAGATTATTTGACATTGACGTGGTGTTGTATTATGAACGCGGTTGGGCCCACCCGTGCGATGCTGTGCGAGGCGCGTAAGCAAGTCCGTCGCCGCTGGCCGCTCGTCCCCTTGGTAGTGGTCCCTCCTCCCGTGCGTAAGACTGGTCGGCGACAGTAGCGAAATTTAAAACTTATAAAATGTTATAATGTAACAATGTATGTTATAATGTACCAAGGATTTTTTTACTAGAACAATTTACAACTCGTCATATCTGTACTCACATATCTATTGAACTTTATTTCTTTCGTACAACGCGTTTAACGAATAATGTCTGCAAATCAGCTCAATAATTTTAATAGGGTATTTGACAAGTTTAAGAAAACGATCTCACGTTATTAACTAATGCTTATGGAGTCCAAGTCCAAAAATGGATATTTTTAGTTCTGTTGGGTTAAGTTCCGTAAAAAACTAAATGAAAAAATCTAATTTCAAGTTGCCTCGAAAACGTTTCTCTGGACATTATGGCGTCTCACTAGTGTGTGACGTCACACGACCGGCATTAAAACGTCAAACGATACAATGTAATGTATCGTTTGACGTTTTTCGAAATACTGGCCGGAAGTTAGCGTGACGTCATTTTAGTCTTAGCCAATGCCAGGTATTTTTTCGGTCACGTGATCATGGAGCAAAAAAATCATTTCTATTTAACGATTTTATAGTAAAGTTTTAAATTAATTGTTCTTTCAGAATAATAAAATTGCTGCTAATATTCATATTAAATACAGATGCCAACAATTGGTACATTATTATTCATACTGTCAAGTAGCCTATATTTATATTGACCGATAAAATATCTATTTAAAATTATTATGTATCACAGAGAGTTGTAATATATCCACTTGGTACTACTGTTTTTCACATGCTCCATTCAGGTCATTCAGGTCTTAATAAAAACGCCTGCGTCAAAGTGTTATATGACAGTTCGAAAATTTTACGATATATTGCTATATGCGGAAGAATATAGACCTTTCTATAGAATATTTATCTTTGACTCTACACGCAATTCTGAATGCGCCGTTAACAATACAGCAGGTACAGACTTCGAGGAAAAGAGACGGCTATATTACCGACCATGCATTTGAATATCACAAATTTTATTAAATCAGTTTATTGTATTAGAACAAAATTTGCTTCAAATGCATTAAATTAACAAACATTAATTAAATACCATTTTTTCACTGAGCTCTGCGGCAACTTTACTTTTCATCAGTCCGCGCGTGGCTGTGAACCAAGAAATGCTTGAATGGTGTTCAAGCACTTCTTGATTGGAACACATTTTAAGCGCACGTGGTGTATCTAGGGTATTTAATATCGTTGTTTTCATTTCTTATAAAGCGTGATCAGAACCGACTATTGTCAAGTCTACGTATAGCAAAGTGAAATGCAGAATCAGATCAGAATAAATTAGAAAACTAAAACGACTTCAGCCCAAGTGTCGTCAATTTATTCCAATACCTCCAAGCTCTCGGAGATACAGGTCAATTTTATTTCACATGGCGAGCGATGATGATTGCGCTGCTCGGCTGACGTATACTCGAAAATGGATCTGAATTCATCCAAAGGTGTCGATTCTAACATGATTCTCTAAACCTAAACCTTAATTAGAAGAAAGAGTGTAACCTAGTATTCTGTATACAAAATGAAAAGGAGAGACAGATATTAAATTTAGTTTTAAGTATAGAGAATCATGCCAGATTCGACATAATTGTATAATTAAATAATAAAATTAGTTACATGACATAACAACTTCCGGTCATAATTCATGTGTTGTCATGGTATTTTCAATAATCTTTTTTGGCTTTTATCAAAAAACCCTATACTTGTATATCGATATATATAGTTTATTCTTATTCTTTCAAAACTGCTCTATTAGAGGTTTTCCAATAAAAAATGTACCAGATAAGTTTTTGTTATTTTGTATATAAACATATAATGAATTAGCTTTATTGTGATATTTATTTCTTATAGATATGTAATGAAATTGTGATTTCTTCCATTGACTGAATAATGTAATTTAAAAAATAACTATGATCCAAGTATTCTTGATACTTAACAAATTGTTATAGATTAAATAATTAATATATACTAAATACAATTATCTAGAATAATAGATATTATTGTTTATCGAAATAAATGAATACAAATGAAACACCACTGTTATTTACTTAAACAATTTTATTGGAAAAAAGTCATCCTAAAATTTGAAAGGCAACATGGTATTGTATACTTTTAGAAAATAATGACAAGATAAATAGTAAGTAGGTAAAATACTGTTACGAGTTCAAAGGAAAACGAGGGGCCTCCTTCACAATGGATACGGGAGGAGCGCCGTTTGTATGTATGTCAACAATTAGTCAATTGGCCGAGAGTATTGAAGGGTGTGAGAGTTGTGAAAGAAGCCTCTAGATATAAAACGCTGACTCTGAACAACCAGGGACATGCAACGGATGGCACTTATGTTTAAAACGAAACGCAAACATTATTGCAACTACAAGTTCATCCTCGTTTCTAAATAGTTTTTTTTCATCAAAACTGAGTAAACGCCACCGCTAACTTATGGAATGCCTTTTTTCACTTAAACATTAAATTATACACTTCCTATTCGCATACGATATCTAATAGTCGACAAGTGACTACTTTCGAAAAATTTTGTTCAGATATTACAGTAGACAGAAACGTAGGCCGATTGTTTGCATTTGCATATAACGTCAACACGCGGCATTCAGGCGAACATACCGACTACACACATTAATAAAGAATGTATAATTATAAAATAATATCAGCATAAATGTACAGAAACATCAAGAATTGGAACAACGAGACCGATCCGAAAAAAAAATGACAATAATAATAATTACAGATTGAAAAGCTCTCTAATTTCTATATATCTAAAATATAAATGATTATAAAAATAAATAAGGGGCGACGCCCCCACCCTTTCACCACGCCACTCGATCAGACAAGACACTTCGGAATTGTTTTATTGAGCAACACTCGCAAACATTAAGTATCGACAACGACGTATGTGTTTAACACGACTATTGCGCGCGCGCCGCGACCGCGTATCACTAAACCAACAGGCGAAACTACCATAAAACGATTCTACCATATTCAATTATAATAAAAAAAACCGATATCTCCAAGCACACGGCCCTACGACTCGCATCCGTACACGGACGCAAAAAATAAAATGGTTCAAGTATAAAATCCGAATCGCTTAAATTACATAATACATAATTATACAATAATAAAAAAACAATGTGCCTCGATCGATTCCGATACGTCGGCGAGCGCATCCAATATAATAATAAACACGTCTGGAGACGTTCCTCTTCAAGTATTTTAATAATGTATACATTATTCGGTTATAGCACATTATGGTCTAAAATAAAATTACTATTAAGTAATAATAATCAATATTTACACGATGTTGGCACGCGGCCCTATGGTGCGGGACGAGGCTGAATATACATTACGGTGGAAAGGAAGCGAATATTTATTCAAATTACCATAGACACTGACTACTTTCGTAAACACATTTTTAAGCTGATATAGTCTTTACTTTCAACGTATCTTTAAATTCGCAGGACATCAACCCTTACGTTAGTTAGCATAAAGTTCAGAATCGCCCGCATCTCCCTTCCCCTGTAACATCTATAAAGCCGTCTAATTCTCCGTTTACATGTTCTCGAACTGATCGACACGCCGCTTGGTATTCCCCTTGCGGATCTCGCGCAGCGTCTTGTACTTGTCCCTGCCTTGACGCACGTTCTCGCGGTGAATCTTGTCCATGGCAGTCTCTTTAGTCTCGTCGCGGGACTGCGCCAAGTCTTGTTTCAGGGCCTGCGGGAAAGAATATAGGTTAATATCTTAGTTGAAAGTCTTAAAGCTATTATAATAAAAAAAAACGAGCGAGCCTTCCAGTGGTAGCGTATGATGTGTAACATTGGAAACCTCACCTTATATTAGTAAAAAAAGTAATAAAACCTACTACAAAAGGAATAAGCTATTTGAACATTATGTTCTAATATTAAATCAAATAGCGCGCGTTTCCCAAACTTCCTGTTACACACTTCCGTCCCACTTCACGTAATCCCACAAATTGCACGAAAGCGAGAGGAAAGATGTTACACATCAAAAAAGAAAATGCAGCTAGTATATTGTTTAAAACTTTCATTGTCATTAAAGTTAATAGCGGAAAAAAACAGCCTAATGAAATTGCTAAGGCTAACGCTACAGCTTACGATTTCATTTTGTTATTTCTGACCGTCGAAGGTTTTGAAATGCTTCGCGCTAGTTTTTTTCTTTTGCAGTATTTGAAAACCTTGCGGTCAGAAAAAACAAAATGAAATCGTAAGCGATCGCGATAACGATAGCAATCACGTAGGCAATTGACATCCAGTAATGGTTATGCTGCTAGTTAGAGCTAGCTTGCAGTAAGGAACTCAAGAGTTGACAATCGACAGCTGTTTTGCCTCACGAAGGACAAACAGAGGTTTACCGAGGCCCGAGCACGAGTTTCTGACGGGCAAGTTAAGCCGTTGGTCCCGGCTGTAGTACTCGCGGGGTAGGTTACGGCCCAATTTCCTTATTCCATCTATAGTGTAGGTCTGAGCTCCAGCAGTGGACACACTAAGGGTAAGTTCAGATTTCATTCAGGATCGCGCGTCGGCTTTAAAAGGCGAGGTCGACGATTGGTGCGCTCCTGCAGCGGGTCCACGAGGTGGTCGGGCGCGCGCGTGAGGTCGCCGCCGCGTCTGTCTGCCTACAACCTACAATACAGTACGCATGGGACGCACGTTGAGCTGCGAGTGCAGGCGCTCGGAGCGCTGCGCGAGCGTGGTGCGCTCCTGCAGCGGGTCCACGAGGTGGTCGGGCGCGCGCGTGAGGTCGCCGCCGCGTCTGTCTGCCTACAACCTACAATACAGTACGCATGGGACGCACGTTGAGCTGCGAGTGCAGGCGCTCGGAGCGCTGCGCGAGCGTGGTGCGCTCCTGCAGCGGGTCCACGAGGTGGTCGGGCGCGCGCGTGAGGTCGCCGCCGCCCGCGTCGGAGCCGGTGTCGGAGCCGGCGTCGTTGTCGTTGCCGGCCGCGTCGGCGCCCGCCTCGGTCACGTGGTGGTGCTGCGGCGTCGTCGTCGCTAATGCCAGCGCGGCTGCTGCCTCGTCCTGAACAAGCGCAACGAAAAATATTATTACGTTTCTATCAATCTAAGAAGTTTATCAACTTTAAAAATTTAACTAAATATTGTTACATAATTATTTAACGTTGTGAAGTTTTTCTCCACAGCTAGAAAAATGTCCTTAACTGGTGGTAAGGAAAAATATAGACAATTCAAGAGTTGTGTTGTGCATCGAATAAAGATATTTAGTCTTTGACTAAAATAATCTAAGACCATAACTATGTAGATAAACTCCAATATGTTTTGATAATCAAAATACATTTGATTGAATCGTATTTAACACGCACTGAGAAAGTTAGTGGATACAAACTGTGTAGAATCTGAATTTTCCCTGACTTTCCAGGTAGCCGCTCGATTTCGCTGACATTCCGGATTATGCACACCCCGTATAATCCTTTTAATCAACTTAAACTTAGTCACTGAATTTTGTTTATATATCTATGATCAACATGAAAAAAACATTTCATGCAATTCAATACTGCTAAAATCAACATTTAGAATGTTCAATTGTTTATTTTCCAAATATGGAACTTCTATAGAAACACTTCTTTTAATTAAAATAAAACTTCATATTGCTAAATAAAATACCGGCCGAATTGAGCATTTCCTTTTTTTTGAAGTTAGTTAAAAAAATATAGATATATAAACAGTAATAATAATATTTACAATACTCACACCAATTAGACTAGCCCCAAAGTAAGCACTGAAAGGCTTGTGTTATGGGATACTAGGATAACGGATAGAATACATTTACTGTCCATATATCAGTATATTTATATAGAAATACATAATTAACATCCATGACTGGAGTACAGATGCTCGTATTCCTCACACAAACATCTGCCCCCACCGGGATTCGAACCCGGGACCCCTCGAGTCGGCGACACCATGAAACCCGGCGTACAAACCACTCGGCCACGGAGGTCGTCGTAATATAATAGGTACCTGTTTGCGACGCGCCTCCTCGACTTCTTCCTGCAGGCGCCTGGTCTCCGTGTCCTTCTGTTCCACCTCCTGTTGTATGCGCGACACTTCCTCCTGTTTAGTGCGGATCTCTTCTTCTAACTTGGCACGCTCGGCCGCTTCCATGTTCTGAATTGGAAAATTGTCAAGTAAATTATTCGTATTTTATACTATATTTGTTGTGGTTAAGGAAAATTGGGTTCAACTTTTTGATATAATCGAAAATAACATTAGTTGATTAGACAAGTTACTTATAAATAGTGAAGAACGTATATATATATATATATATATATATATAAGTTTATGTCTCACCAGCTGAACCAGTAACCTATTCATAAGAAGTATAATGGATGTGTGGGATTGTGCGGGATACTTGGAAGATTGTATAACTATATATATAAAACTCAAAGGTGACTGACTGACATAGTGATCTATCAACGCACAGCCCAAACCACTGGACGGATCGGGCTGAAATTTGGCATGCAGGTAGATGTTATAACGTAGGCATCCGCTAAGAAAGGATTCTGATCAATACTACCCGAAGCGAAGCGAAGGCGGGCCACTAGTTTTAAAATAAGTATTAAAAATGTTTATACTATACCTGCTCGGAAAGTTCTTTATTAATATTTTTTAATGAAGCAGAAAGGACCTCATTACTGTCTTACTACTAAGCGGGCTGGAAAAGTGTATGGCAATCCATAATTAACGCGCTAAGCGAGCAGAAAAAGTCAATGAAAATTACCACGTGAAGAACGAAATGAAAATCATTATTTTTTGACTGTAAAGTGGGCGTCTCAATATTGGCTATATCGGCGGATCAGCGATCACGTGACATGTTCAAACGAGACCTAATGTCGTATATATGATACGAAAGAGATAGTTATGAAGCTGACAGTTCCATAGTCTCGTATAAGGTGAATGAACTTTTGTATCGCTTCTCGTTGGCCTTAGTTTACACTAGCGGCCGCCTTCTTCGTACATCGTAGGCGTGGGGTTAGTTAGAAATAAAGGTTCACCGCTCGTTACCTGTAGGTGATAGCGTGATAATATTGTAGCCTATATGTTGACCCGACTTCTTAATAATATTCGTGCCAAATTTGAAGTAAATCCATGCAGTACTTTTTGAGTTTATCCCGGACATACACACAAAGAGACAAAATTTTTAAAAACTATATTTTTAGCTTCTGTATCGATTGTAGATCACAGTTTTGACTTTCCAACCATTTTATTATATGTATAGATTGCATACCTTGGTCTCCTCAAGGCGCGTCATCATGGCCTGCAGTTCGTTCTGGCGGTGCTCCAGCTCTTCCTTGGCGGCTTGCAGCTGCCGCAGCTGTTCCTCGAGCCGTCTGATCATATCTTGGGCTTCTAGTAGATTAGCCTAGGTTCAAGGAGAAATTTAGTCTGTTAAATCTTTTCAATAGTTATTACTATAATACTTTCGTGCAATATTAAACTATAAATGATTTTTAAGGCTGATACTAGCTGGCGTGGCTTTTCGAATTGGCTTTAATAAATTTGATAGCAGTATTTGACTAGTTTCCGAAAACGTTCATACGTTATTGATTAGTGTGTGTGACTCCATAAAAAGGATGGGTTTATATAATTATGTTGCTTATAACAGTAAAAAACGAAATAAAAATTGTTTTCAAATATGCCGTGGAATCGTTTATTCACCAGACGGACGTTCTGATTAGATTGGAAAATCCGCTTTGCCCTACCTCTCTTGATTTATAGTCATACCTTATGGCATTACCTTTAAAGTTTAGATTTATCAAAACAAAGTACGTTTTCGTTTGTGCTTTTAATGTATAAAGACTCTTGGACCAGATTGTCCACACCAGCCCATCGTTACCTGACCCTACAATTTTCTTATAATCAATTTATTACACAAAATTTTTGCTACCATCTCGCCAAGCACACCAGCCTCCTCTGATCTAGGAACCTTTTAAACTATTCAGAATGAATGAACTTCACTTTTGACGCATTCCATTTATATGTTTTGCACATCCTCAATTTTTTCACATACTTCACAATCGAATTCTTGACGACCTCCGTGGCCGAGTGGTATGTACGCCGACTTTCAAGATGTAGCCTACTCGAGAGGTCCCGGGTTCGAATACCGTTGGGGGCAGATGTTAGTGTAATGAATATTACTTTGGGGGATAATTGGTGTGAGATTATAAAAAAAAACAGGAGAATTGTTTTCGGTATTACGATGACATTTAGATACCTGCGAGCGTTCCATCTCCTCTTGCATGTGACGCAGGCGATCCTCATACTCCTGTTGTTTCTTCTCGGCACGTTCGCGCGCTGCGATCTCCAATTGCAATTTTTCTCTGCAAATTCAAAATAAAAATAAGTTATTTACATCGCATCAAATTTTAAGAGACAATGCAGGCTAGATACCAATACTTAGTTCATGTTACTCTGGCATATACATACTAAATTAAAAAAAAGTGTTTACTCGGCTAGGAATCCAACCCTAGTGGCGGTAGGCGAGCTTTCTACCACTGAACCACTGTTGCTTGTGGATACAGTTTGAATTTTTGATAACAGTTAAAAATGTAATGCGACATGCTAAAGTTGAACGGAAAAAGGACAATGGGCAAAACGCACCCAGCTCCGCCAACAATGTAATTAGTATGAATCGATAGATCTATGAAAAACTAGCCTTTTTTATTATGGCACCAAAAAAAAATAACCTGGGGGTCAAAAGATATACACCTGGGTATGTTCTATATTAGGGGTTAAGATTTCCGCACATAGTCCTTATAGACGACCTTTGTGTGTAAGTCATGGGGACCGGTTACACACGGGCATATTTAAATAGCTCCTTATAGAGAAGCTCGATGGCGCAGGTGGTTAGCGCGTTCGGTTGCGATCGTTGAAGTTAAGCAACTTCCGCAGTGGTCGGTCATTGGATGGGTGACCAAAAACATCTATCTCGAGTTCCTCCGTGCTTCGGAAGGCACGTTAAGCCGTTGGTCCCGGCTGCATCTGCAGTCGTTAGCACCCGCCAATCCGCACTGGGCCCGCGTGGTGGGTCATGGCCCAATCTCCCTATTTCATCCATAGGGAAGGCCTGTGCCCCAGCAGTGGGGACATTAATAGGCTGATGATGATGATATTTAAATAGCTAAAGAAATTCATTCAATATCAATAGTACTTTCGTTTTATAATATTAGCAATAATAAGTGAGTGAATCATATCTTACTGTACAACCAGATACAAAATATTAAACAACAAAGCCTACCGACTATCCTGCTTGCTTGCTGCTTGCACTTACGAGACTCCTCAAAACGTCTAACAGGGTATGGGGGTTGAAGGATGTGATATTGCAGTTGCCGTTGCAACTAGTCTACTCGTATGCAGTCCTATGTCTTACATTTTGTGCGCTCCCTGTTATTTCATTGATATTTAACTAACACGCTTTAGAAATAGGAACACGATTATCATCGCGTACGTCATTATAATCGTACGAGCTAATAAAAAATCTATGGATCAATTTAAATGCTCGTACTCAGCACACAAACATCTGCCCCCACCAGGATTCGAACCCGGGACCTCTCGAGCCAGCGACACCATGAAATCCGGCGTACAAACCACTCGACTCGGATATATTAATTGACGACCTCCGTGGTCGTCAATTAATATATCCGTTCTATATACTCGTCCTTGTATCTTTAAATATTATGTTCGTTATAGTTACTTTTACCTATGGAATTGTACCTATTTAACTTAAAATAACTAAAGACTCCCGGGATGGAATTTGATGCGCTTTGGCACAAATGATCATGACTATGATACCTTTCAAACAAATGTAGTTTAAGCCGTGGCGGACGTAGGTGCAGTGTCCATGCAATTTTGCCCATTGTCCTTTGTGGCATAGTAATAAGTTTCCCTTGAATATATGTATTATAATAGTAATAAGCGGAACAGGGTATTTGACAAGTTTTAGAAAATTATCTCACGTTATTTATTAATATTTATGGAGTTCATCAGTAAAAAAATCAAATCGAAAAATCTATTTTAAAAGTTCCCGCGAAAACGTCTCTGAGGACATTATAGGTGTATTCCGTAAAATATACCAGTATACTAGCCAGAGCTAATGACGTCATGAATCGACGCTATACTGGTAAATTGTTCCGAAATATATTGGCCAGTGGACTGACGTCATAAATCGACGAAATATTAAAAATAGTGCGAATAAAGATTTTTTATTCACCTCATCAATTAAAAGGAATTCTTTTTGTTCGGATGCCACTATTGTTCTTTAAATAAAAAAAAATCGAATGCATCTCACGCACGCTTAGTCATACGTCATAATCGTTTTCCCAGTAAAAATATGGTAGCATAGCAGTACAATATGGCGTCGGATTCGTGACGTCATTATCACTGACCAGTATACTGATGTACATTTCGGAATACACCCTATGGCGTCTCACTGGTATGTGACGTCACACGACTGTCATTAAAACGTCAAACGACAAAATGTAATGGCATGTTGACCGGAAGTTTACTAGCGTGTGACGTCATTTTTGCCGAAAACGCCTGGGATTGGCCAGGCGTTTTCGGTCACGTGACCATAGAACAAAAAAGCATTTCTGTTTGAAAAATTTTAAAAGAAGAAAGAAATCAGCTGTTTCATACATTTCGGTCGATTAGCTGATACACTTTTGTATGAAACAGCAGATTTGTTTCGCGATTTCAGCTTTGGTCCCATAATAAAAGTTGTTCCCGTTGATGGGTAGAATCACCCCCTACGAGATTGTTGGTGTTTTAAAATTAACCCTGTATAGGCTGTTGATTAGGATAACGTTAAAAATGTGCGTGTTTATGGTACATACCTTTGCGCTTGCTTAGCTAATTTTTCCTCTCTAGCCTGCGCCTTCATCTGCTGTACGTCAATAGTGTCCGGCTTACGGCGTCGCATGTAGAGTTCATGGTTGCCCATACACAGCGCCAGGATACGTTTGTTGACGCGAACGCGAGGCGCGAAGAATACGAAATCGGGCGCTTTCTTGTCTATGGGCTTGATTATGAACTTGCGGTCGTTGAATGAGATGTTCCGTATTTCGGACCAGGGGAAGCCGATCTTTGGCGTGAGTCTGCAAAAGAAGTTTCGGCGTCAGAAAGATTTAGAAATTAAGAAGACACAAAATGATGAAAATTTTAAAATCAACTTTATAAATACGACAACTAAGAACTAGAATGAGATTTAAGTACTGAAAGTCACAGATTAACATATTCCATAGTTGACAAATTTCTCCAACTGAGTTTGAGCCTTATTTTGCTTGAAGTAAGATTCAGTCTGTAAGGATCGTATTACAGAATGACAACTAAGTGTAGATCTTTACTTGAGTACAGTTAGAAAGGGATGTCGCTTTATATAGCGACGATCCTTACAGACTGAATCTTACTTCAAGCAAAATAAGGCTCAAGATTAGATCAATCACTGAGAATCTTTCTGTAATACGGGCCTACGTGTCATTTAACGGAGTCGAGTACGCCCGTATTCGGGTAGATTTCCTTTTGTTTACCCGACACCGTCTCGCAGTGTAAATATTGCTTCGGGTGCCCGAATACGAGTAATGTCTTTCGTGCACCCGAATATGAGCTAACGACCAAATGTAATAGCGGCATAAGACTTGCAAGCAGGGCTTGTTTACCGGTTAATTTTCAAACCTCAATCAGTATCAAGTACATTAGGAGCGTTTTATTTAGGTTTGGCTCTACCTTAACCTTAAAAAAACCGGTTTTCCTAAAAAGCGAAATCAAATAGGTTTTGAATCAATTTAGCGGTTTTTAAAGGGTTTCATTTCGCTCTTACTGACGACATCGCCTTCGCCGTTTCAATTCAAATTTATAATGATTTTATGTCAGTTTCTTTCCAACTACAGAGCGACTGAGTGAAGTAGTGTCAGTACACAACTACAAAATGAATAACTTGACTCACTAGACGCAAGCAAACGTGTCAATAAATGCATCAATCTCTGAGCATTAACAAGTTGTGACTTGAATACTTCAAACAAAACCAACTTCAAGCGATGCCGACGCGTGCACGTGTCGCTCTGGATTAAACCGGTTAATTAAGGTTTTAGGTACCGCTTTCATTTCGGACGCGCTCCGAACGAAACCTTTACTAAAAACCAGTGATAACCTTTATTTACCGGTATTTCCGAAACCGGTTACAAGCCCTACTTGCAAGCGAGGATAAGATCTACGATCAACTAATTCGAGTCTACTAAACTGTTTCGTTGTACCTAAGAAACTGACATCAACACAATTATCACAATGACATTAATAAATAAAATAATCATAATTCTTCGTTACTATAAGTAATCCAGTGTCATTCTTATCAAAGGAACTTTAATCAAATAACAATGTATATGATACACGATTAACCTTTTGGACGGCAAATTTATCTATTAAAAATAGGCTAACGATGTCTGCACTTAACTTGTCTATTCGTGTTTGCTATTAGTAAACTTGACATGCTGTTAAGTTAACAATTTGAAAATACGAATAGCCAAGTCAAGTGGCGGCATGACAAAAACGAACGCAAGCCAACGCCAATGTTTTAAATGGACATCAACATAAAATTCACTAAGAGATAGTAATTTCTTATATTAAAGTCAGTTCAAATCACACTGATATTATAAAGGCGAAAGTTTGTGAGTGTGTATGTTTGTTACTTCTTCAAGTTTAAACGACTGGAGTGATTTAAATAAAATTTGGCAATTGGCATGGAGTAAGCGGACACCCTGGATTAACACATAGGCTACGTTTTACTGCGGGAAAATATCCTATATAAATCGCGGGTAGCACCGTGGGGCACAGCTAGTCAGTAATACAGTTGTTTTGATCACATTTCTATATACACTCCTCAACACTGATCACAACTCCTCATCACCGATCTAAGAGACGTAGGCCATTTCCCGCTCGAATTGGAGCGCCTGTCTGAACCGAATTTGAAACATAGCAATAAGAAGCCACGTTATTTGTGACTGCCATAGTCTATATATTGAAACAAAAACTATAGTCTTCACCGAAGCGAAGCGAAGGCGGACCACTAGATAGAATACTCACTTGTCGTCCTTCTCGTATATGTTGAGCCCTAATGCGTCTACTCCCAGCCAGAGCTCGGTATTCTTCTTGTTGCGGATCTCAAAGTAGTTGACGCCGTACATTTCTAGATCTTGCGCGATCTTTAAATACTCCATCATGGCGTCTTCGCGCAATATACCGCGGTGCTCTTGCCACCAGTTGGTGATGCTCTGTTCCCACTCTTCGCGCGACATCTGTAGTATTGAATAGGTATTTAGTTAAAGAACTATCATCATCATCAGTCTTTTAATATCCCCACTGCTGGGGCACAGGCCTTCCCTATGCATGATATAGGGAGATTGAGCCATGACCCACTACGCGGCGATTGGCGGGTGCTAACGACAACAGATGCAGCCGGGACCAACGGCTTAACGTGCCTTTCGAAGCACGGAGGAGCTAGAGATAGTAAATTTTTGGACACCCATCCAATATCCGACCACTGCAAAAGTTACTTAACTTCAGCGGTCGCAGCCAAACGCGCTAACCACAGCGCCATCAAGCTTCTTTAAAACATGGGCGTTGAAGAACTATACTGATTTATATCTCAGAAAAATAACAACTCCCTTCAAGAGGATGTGTTTAAATTAATTCTATAATTACTCGTGTGTGTGCTAGCAAAACAAGTTTATGGAGATTTTTAATTACGACAAGTGCTGTTCTTATCCTAATCAATTTAATTCGCGGGACAAAATCCAAGTCATCAGTAATAATCTACTTCTGTAATATTGAAAAAATTTCGTTCGTGTTATTCTTTTCGATGGAAGCACATCTATCCATTCGTATGTGTGTCTATAAAAACCTTAATTTCGCTAAAACTATAAACATTTAGTAGAGTCAAAGACGCGAAGATCTAGTATAATTTCAAGCGTCGTGTTAACTAGACATGAGTACGGACCTTGTGTTGATCGGTGACCCGCTGGGGCAGCAGGCGGTCGTTGGCCAGGAAGCCAGGCCCGTGTACGGAGGAGTTGTAGTCGCCATGACGCGCCTGCACCGCGTACGATGCTAGAAGCACTGACGTCTCAGGCGGGCAGTATATCTCGTCGGAGAGGATTGCATTCTTTACCTACGTGCAAGAAATAACATTGCAATTGCAAATTGAAAACTCAAACTACGTTTAGTGCTATTCAAACTTAACAGCGGCTGTGGCATTAGCGCAAGTGGCGGCGCAGTAAATGTATGGTGATTTAGGTGCGCGCGGAATGAATGACTGAATTGAAACGTGCGCATAGTTGCGCTCACGACTAACTTCGTAGCTGCCATAAAGTTGGAAAAGCACTATTGATGAGATTTGCTATAATTTACTCTACTTATCAAAATTGATATTAAGATGAACGATGGCAGTAGTAGCAGATGATGATGGCAGTATATCTCGTCGGAGAGGATTGCATTCTTTACCTACGTGCAAGAGATAACATTGCAATTGCAAATTGAAAATTCAAACTACGTTTAGTGCCATTCAAACTTAACAGCGGCTGTGACGTTAGCGCAAGTGGCGGCGCAGTAAATGTATGGTGATTTAGGTGCGCGCGGAATGTCACTGAATTAAAACGTGCGCATAGTTGCGCTCACGACTAACTTCGTAGCTGCCATAAAGTTGGAAAAGCACTATTGATGAGATTTGCTAAAATTTACTCTACTTATCAAATTGATATTAAGATGAACGTCCGAGTAGAAAGATCATGCATGTAAGGAATTAAAGTAGAACGATAATGGTGTCGATTCTGGCAGGATTCTCTAAACTTAAAACTAAATTTAAGATCAGTCTGTCCTTTTCATTCTGTATAGAGAACGACAGGGATACACTGTTGTCAAATTTAAGTTTAGCTTTAGAGAATCATGCCAGAATCGACACCCATAGCTCCCGAAAACCATATTTTTTTAATCGGCCGATAGTTTGAACGTGTTTAGTGTGGTTTTAACCTGAAATAACGTTTGTACGAAATTTTGACATGAAAGAGATTTGCGGGAATTTATGGGTGGAACTATTCTTCCAATCTTTATTTAAAATTATTAAAAAAAAATGTGGTATTATAAAACCACGATGCAAGTGAAACTTTTATAACGCATCAAACATTTTTTTCTGGCTTATAAAAACGGGAAAATAAAAAATCCTTCTTCGGCTGGGAATTGAACCTGCGTAGCAGGCGAGCTTTCTACCACGGAACTACCCATACTTGTTGATAAGACCTCAATATTATAATTATATTTAAAAATGTGATGCGACATGATAAAGATGAACGATATAATAAAAGTTTCACTTTAAAATTAAGTCTTACAAGTTTTTCGTCTGCACGCGGCTTCTCAAACGATGAATTCGACATCACTTACTTGAAGATAGAAGAGCTTGAGTGTAATTTCTTGTATGAGCTCATCAGCGACGTCTTCTGGATAGAATTTGGCGCGGAACTTGAATTGAAGCGGATTTTCTTTCTTTACATCTTGCTGCATCACCTGTAAAGAAAAAAGCAATTTATACGATTTGCATCAATCTCCTGTTATACACGTACTGTTAACGTCACCATTTTTATTAAAAAATCTTTGTTTTCTTTATCAAAGTTGGCTTACATCATTTATTTTTAAATATTTTACAATGTAAGCCGTGAGATAAACTATGTTGAGTTGGATGACTAAGTTTTTTTTGTGTTGCAACAACAATCAAATCCTGTTATGGAAAGATTATCATAAATGAGATCACCCACCACATCTAGATCATACATCAAACGCGAAAATACTTAGAAAAAAAAATGTATTGTATATTATAAAAGCACTACCTACATTAAATAAAACCGAATTAAAGCGCATAAAACGCTAAGCAAGAAAAGAACACATTTGAATCAATAGCTTATCTGTTATAATTCTTTCTCCCTTTTTTGAAAAATAATAGGGTGCAGGAAACTCCACAATATCTAATTCTAAATATAACTACTTTGAGAAATTGACAGCTTACACTACACTACATTACTTTAATATTCTACTGATACTACGTCAGCATCTTTGAAGAACGAAATTCTCAGGATAAGATGTCACCACACTAAATGACACGTGTCATAACACCTTTTTAAAGTACGATCCACAAAGATTGACCGGTGCCTCCTCATACAAACTATCGGAAACGATTCGATTTTGTTAACTTTGTCATTGCCGTTTGGAAATTAGACAAAGACGATGTAAAGAATTTTATTTCCGATATTTTGTTTGACTACGAGGTAACGAATTTTATTTCCGATACTTTAACTTATAACTTTACTTGGCTATTCATGTTTCCTATTTGAGAACTTGACAACAGTCTCTTTTTCATTCTCTATAGAGTATGATAAAATGACAAAAAGTAAATACGAATAACCAAGTGCTGGCATAATAAATAACATTCTTCCAGCTTTTTGCAGTACACAGACAATATAGTATAATCCTCAGCAACTATCGTATCGCTAAAAACTCTAGGCGTAGTCCAAGCCACGTTGGTAGTAACGCTTTTGAGGTTGACCGCCAGCGTCTTCATTGCATAGCAACAAAAGTAATTCTAGTTCACTGATCGTGGCAAAAAAAAATATGTAGGTACCCCAAACACGAACACCTAGCGAGAAAGTATTCGTATCGCCATCGTCAAGTTTCTATGGAAACTAAGCAGTGCCCCTGCAAGACGCAAGAATAAACCAGGGGGCCAATCGCCTAACGGGATTGCTATGGCTATCGCTTACGATTTCATTATGTTATTTCAGACCGCCGAAGGTTTTCAAATGCCACGCGCTCTTTTTTTCCTTTTACATTGGTAATAACAATATTAAAGAAAATGAGCGAGGGGTCTTTGAAAACCTCTCGCAGTCAGAAATAACAAAAGAAAATCGAAAGCGATAGCCGTAGGAATCCCCTTAGGCGTTTGGCCTCCAGCTCCCCTCATAGACACTATGACGAAGGCGATACAAATACGTTGTCGCTAATTGTTCGGGGACACTGAGTGTCACCACCCATCATGGCCTGGACTGCACCAAACCAACAACACACGGATCTTACCCATCTGGAGAACGGTAGCGACCCTGACTTTGTAGTGTGCCGTCGAAGTGGTCCAGGGGAGCGTTAAAAAGGCAACAATTAATTACAATTCAGCGCCAGTATCTGGCAAACGTGGGAAAATTCTAGGAGTAGGCGCAGAAACTTTTTTTATTAATAAAAATAAAGTACAAACGAAATTAGAACCACCACCTGTTTTATATGTAGCTGAGCAAAGAAGTAATTAAAACATTTTAAGAGCTATATACTTTTTATTGACTCTTGTTTTTCTCAATGAAGCGTCCTATTATTCTGAGGTTATTTTAAATATTAATTATAGTAAGATAACATAAGTAGCCGAAATGAGGAGGATTTAAGTCAAATATTACATAGTATTATACATTACATATTACACACTATAACTTCACAAGTATATAAGCAACAATTTAGCCATAGCGTTTGTATCAACTTAGCGATAAAAAAGGCAAATAAAAGCACTGCCGTACGGAAACACCTATAAATTCGCAAACCAAATGACATCGAGTAGATAAAATAAAGTAATAAGATAATTAGGCAAAAATTACATAATTCGAATTTAGCGCTAATTTCTGCCAAACGTAATAAACACAGTCCATAGAGGATGCACTTGTGACATAAGTTACTAGCAGTAATAATACTTAAAGCACACTATAGCCAACAATTATAGCAATAGTAATGAACGAATAATTATACTAAAAGTAGAAAGTGCAGTACGTGTGTATTGATGGGTAGGTTATTATGTGTACAAATAGAATGACCAGAACTCAACAGTCATTATCACGATTCCTGAATGTTACATTTCCGTAACAGATCTGGAACTTGATGCCAAACAAGCAAAAGTAAAAGTATCGATTAGGGATATGAAAGTTCTAAAAAACCCGATTGTTCTATTAACTGTACTACCTACGTTATTAAGATCAATAAATTCTAACATGAGATAATCATAGCCAAACAAGTGTTGATTACAATATTTTTAAGCTGCAAGATATTTAAATCTAAAGAAAATTTTACTAGAAGGAAATCCATCGGTTAAGATAGGATTCAAACCCGCATCATCCGCTATCCGGGCGGATAAAATTGTTTAAAAGAAAATAACGATGTTTATAGCAGTTACAGTGGACTTGAAATTTTCCTAATTCCAAATGAGTTATTGGAATCAAAACTACATTACATAAATATACCAACACAGAAAAAAACAGAAGAAAACGTGCAATTTACGAACTGATTTTGAAGTTTAAATCTGATTTCAATGAGATCGGGAATTCAAGAAGAAACTTCTGAGATAGTCACCCCAGATTCGGTTAACCACCCGTTAACCGTGTTTATTGTGAAGATGTAATAAACGAAATCAATATAACTTCACATAATAGGTTGGGGAAAAAGTCTTTTCGCATTATGGTATGTATGAACTTGTAATAAAATCTCTTTGGGTACCATTAGCATCTGGCTGGTTTTGGTATCATTAAATAGTTTAAATTTAAAAAAAAATATAATTCCAAATTCAAATTAGGAAAATGTTTGAATTTCATTTGTTTTTCTTATTGTCAAGCTCAAATGAATGTAATGAAGAAATTCGATACATATTACTACAAAAAAGGTAAAATTATGATGTTTAGCCGCGAAAAAAAATGATGTTTATGGACCTAGTGCAGTGTCTGCGAGAGTAGCACAAATTTGGTTTAAGCGTTTTCAATCCGGAAATTTTGATGTCAAAGATGCATGCATGTTGCTCTGGCCGCCCTGTTACGGATAAAATGAATGTTTTTTTTTAAAGTGGAGCAAGTTCGGCATATCATCAGTAACGACGTAGCTGAAGAACTGGGAATTGACCATAAAACAGTTTTGGCACATTTGAAAAAAGCTGGGAACACAAAAAAGCTCGATATCTGGGTGCCTCACCAGCTCACTGAAAGATACCTAATGAACCGTGTTCTCATTTGTGATTCTTTATTACGACGTCATGAAACCGAACCATTTTTTAAGAAGCTGATAACTGGTGATGAAAAGTAAATCACGTACGACAAGAACATGCGAAAAAGGTCGTGGTAAAAGTGGACCGACCTTTGGGCTTCACAGACTCTGGCGAGACCCGGGTTAACTCTCAACAAAGTGATGCTGTGTGTATGGTGGGATTTGAAGGGCATTATTTATTAAGAGCTGTTATCGCCAGGCAGGACCATCGATTCTTAACTCTACTGCGAACAACTGATAAGATTAAAGCAAAGAGTTTGAGAGAAAGCGGCCGTGGCTTTTCATCATGATAACGCTAGACCTCACACTTCTTAAGCCACTCAGCAAAAATTAAGTGAGTTTTACTGGGAGGTGTTAATGCATCCGCCATATAGTATTCCACCTGTTTCGGTTTCTTCAGAATTATTTACGCAGTGTCAGGTTAACATCACGAGAGGACGGCCAAAACCACATGTCGCTATTTCTTCATCAGAAGCCCCAAAATTTCTATAGCAATGGGATCATGTCCCTACCTACAAGATGGCAAATAGTTTTCGAACAAAATGCAACCTACATACTAAGTTAAATGCAAATAAACTTTAGTAAACGTAACTATATAACTATATATCTATATCCTAAATAATGTAATGGAAGGTGACTTCAAAAGTATCTCTGAAGTCATTTTAGGACTTGACGACTTTGTTATTATCAATACAGGCAGAAAAAAGCAGCCCTTGCTGAGTTTCTTGCCGGTTCTTCTCAGTACAAGGTCTCCCGCCGTAGTTTTGCGAACCGATGGCGTAGCTTCTTGACCTTCACAAGTGCTTGTAACAGCCTAGATTGAATAAATGACTTCATTTCATTAAAAAATGTTTTGATTTTTATACAAAACGCGAAGAAACTTTTTCCTCAACCATATAACACATCTAACACGTAGTAGTAGCATACAAATAATACGAAACCAGCAATTGTGTCAGAAGACATGTTACGAAAAAACAGTCACCGTTCTAACTAAATGCAAAATAGCAGCGCCGTTGGAGTTGTTCCAAATTAGTTAAAACAATCGTTATTAAAAGAGAACACCATAATTACTTTAAACGATCTTTAAATTGGCAATGTGATTCAGCTATTCAGCACTGTTTGGACAAGGTTCCACATATCGCTAGGCAAACCCAGCACTGTTAACTCCAAATCACTGTAAAGTGTACATTGGCTTTAGGAAAATAGTTCGTAAAGGCTTACAATAAGACCGATAATAAAATTACGCAAACCAATTTATACTTAGAAGATATCTCTGGGACTTGTTTTTATAGTTGACCAAATTTAAGTTTGGCAAATGACTTCCTCCGATTTGTTCAAATGGAGACTAGATGCAAATATGTCTGTATGCCACAAAGACGCATTAATTTATAGTACTAGTTTAGACTATTTATCTCTGCTTCTAGTTTCTTATTGAGCTGTACTGTTTTCTATAT